ACAATCGCTAAAATGAAATATTAAATTTAAAAAATAAATTTCCAACAACGTTTAGGAAAAATATCTACAGGACATGATACAACTATTACAGTGTACAGAGGTATTTGTAACGACAAAGGCGCTATTGTTACACACAATCACACAGACTGGAAAGTTCGAAAATTAAACGTTGATCTTTTATCCTTCGAAAATTATAATCTTGCAATGTAAACGAACGACTAGGTACAATGGTGACCAGAAGTGGGGAGGAAATGGTAACCGAACGTTTCGCTATTAAGTGATTAAAAAGAGAAAAAATAGCCACAACGGGAAGGAGAATGAACAAAGAAATCGGAGATCGCTCTGTATATATATATATATATATACAAGAAGATACGTATGATTGCGTGATATCTTCGCAGCCCTATATATTTTTGATGAACGGTCGAAGATACACTGGTTATCGATTTTGCACTTTAGGGAAGAGGAGCGAAAAAACGTGGTTTCCCCTGGGCGGCTATACGTGAAATACGGTTCTGACCACAGCACGTTTGAACGCGTACGACGGAAAAACTATTTTTCCCTTAAACTTGATCACCGAGGATGTGTACCCGAAAACCGTTAGGAATCCGAACCGTCGAGATCCGTTCGTACGATTTTGGCCCCGAGAAACGGGAAAACACGTACAAACCGTAACAACCGTACGGCGATGCGCGCGCGACACTCCGCACGTATCCCGTGCGCAAGACACGCAAACGTACGCACGCGCGCGCTACGCGCACCAGTGAGCGGACAAAGGAGCCCCGGACCCCTCTTGCCGGCGCGAGAAAACGGTCGTATTTCCCGTCCGCGAGAAAAAGAACTCCGGGCGGACGGACGGGCGGCGGACACGGTTTGACGGCGAGGAATGCGACCTCGACAGTCGCACGGCGGCGCGTGAGACCGGGCCGACCGTTCGCCGCCGTCGTAGCGCCGCGTAGTATATTTTTTCTCAACACAGCAGTGCACAATGAACGCGTCTCGTCGCGAGCCGGTCGGCGGGCCCCCCGTTTCAAGTGTGCCGACCGTTTTCTCACGGACCGCCAGACCCGTTCGTGTGATCGCTGCACTCTTGGCGCGCATACAGAGCGATACGCGCACGCGCATACTCGTATATATTTGTATGTGTCGAAAAATATTCGTACCGTCGTCGGGTAAGGGGGCCGGAGGAGGAGGAGGAGGTGATGGCGAGACGGGCAACAAATTTATTCGTACGGGGGCGGCAGCTACGAGAAAACAACGGTTTAATGGGTTGTTTTCCTCGAGTCCAAGACCTCTAATGGTCAACAGAGGTGTGTAGTGGTTCTTAAACTACGGCTGCGCCCGTGCGACGCTGTATGATGGCCGTGTACGCGAACATAATATTAAACCATCGAAAGAGACGTACGAGTGCGTACGGTTGTCGGGCACAGTTAAGTGTGATATTAATTTAACACCCGCATTCTCGATGTCGTTAATAAAACTGGCACCACGGTCCCGTGTGTTATAAGCCTACACATGTGTTAAGAGCCTCTGACTTGGACCAATAGTTTTAAATCGTGGTACTCCCAGGCCCGTCGGTGTGTCTGCATAGTTGTGAACGGTGTCATGAAATACTAACACGACCAATGTCCGAGCACGACGTACCTACGACGTGCATCTAGCGAGCATTTGCATACCATGTCATTAAACGAGGAAAAGTTTTGGAATCCTTTACGAGGAAATCGTAACGGAGGATACTGAAATACGTGGCGAAGAACGAAATATTTTCCCCGTGCGAATCGTCCACAACAAAATTAATAATAATCTAACCACAGAACCGCTCTGTATACGTATGAGCGCTGTAAATATTACGCGGCACACGAGTTTCAAAAATTATGTACGATTGGGAGGGGGTATTGCGCAAAAAACGCGCATTTATCTTTCAACACGATTTCACGGCGAAAGGCGGGAGGGGCGAGCACATATGATTACGTTATATAGACAGCTAAGTTTTATTATCCGAAGGAGGCGGCCACGTATTTTGGTTTAGTACGTGTCCTAAAAAAAATAAATATTTTATGTAAAACCATTATTGTCGTTGTTTATTTCTTTGACGGGTTTCGGACTCATCCGAGTCGTGGCAATGTTGTTTGTTAGAATTATTAAATCAAAACATATTAACAGCTGGCGTATGCACTTCATGGATTCGGGCGCGAAATCATAGGCCACAGTTATAGGAGCTACGTGCAAACAACATACAATCGTATTAAAATGTTTCCAAAATTCACGTTTTATATTTTGTATTAATAATGTTCTATGATTCAGGTAACATATTTCAAATACGGAAAACAATCGTTTAAGAATTTTCTAGTAATAACCACGAACTAACGTATCTTAAGCGACCATCTCCATTAGAACGTCATACGTCTTGAACGAGTGTATTCTCGTGATGCTCACATAAAGTAGTCGCAGCTAAATTGTATTTCAAAATATTTCAACAAGTGAACAGCAATTAAAGTATAAACGAAACAATTATAAACATGTTTCAAAGAAATAATGAGCTATTGAAAGCCCATTAAAATTAATTTAAAGTGTAAACGAATTCCTCGGTTTTTATTACCACTATCGTTAATTTAAATCGAAATAATTTTTTGTAGAGACGTGATCGCACGTTCTTTTTTTTCTTCTGATGATTCATTTAATAATACGTCGTAGGTTCGATATTTTTGGCCATTACCATTATTACCCATTTCCATGAAGAACTACATGACTAAGTTGTTAAAATGATGTCCTGACAATGGAGCGCTATAATATTAAACTAAACTGAAAAAGTTCACTGTATTAAGTGCAGAACTGCTGTACACAAAATAACAAAATTAAAAATGAATTCGTTCGCACCGTTTGCGAATACCAATATAACTCGTCAGATAATCTTTATGTTTAATAATGTTATTATTTATTTGCCGCATCATTCGTACCGTATCGATACGGTGTTATAAATTCGTTTTTATTAGAATAAAATTTCAACAAATTCATCAATTTATTGACGCTTTAAAAAAAAAGGAAAAGTTGAATTGCGAGAGAATTCACCAGCTTATTGCAGATAAGTACCTAAAACAAAAATTTTTGTGAGCAATTTCATTCAAAATCAACAAAATAGTTTTTAAAAGGCATTGCTTAAAATATTTAATAATTTAACTTGATTCATAATGTTCTATTAATCATACTTTTTTTTATTTGATACTTATTTTGTTTTAATTGATTTGTATTGACTGATAATGTATTAATAACCATACTATGACATTTTTTAAAATTATGACTTAACTCTTTTCAGTGGCGTATATAGGGGGGGGGGGGGGGGGCGGGCCCCCCCCCCCCCCCCGGAATTTATGGTTAGTACGACCCACGTGTGCATTTCTTTAATCTATGTATTAATTAAAACCAAACTGTCTAGTATGGGAAAAAAATGCTCTCTCCTAATTTTTAAGTAAATTATACGCCCAATTCTTACCTACGCTTGCCCAGTATGGGGTAATTGTGCATCCTCGCACATCAAAAAAATGCAAATTGTCCAAAATAAAGTCCTCAGAATAATTGCAAATGTTCCGTGGTTTGTCAGAAATCCAAATCTGCTATTGATACTTTGAATAAACTATCCGTTGATTTTTTTCCAAATATATGGTGCTTAATGTCAATATTAGTAACTTTACCAGTCTCAACAGCGTCATCAGAAAGATCGTTTTCGATATTGAAAACATTGAAGTCGTGCTTGAGAAATAGTACAAGCGAAAATCGACTAACAGGATTATCTCATGTCAATTCATCGAAGTATTTCAATAAACACTGAAGAAGTGATAAATAATTTTGCAAATCTACCTCGAAAATTAGACTTTGTCCTGTAATTAAATTTATGTATTCTAATTTTCATAGTTATTAAAAATAAGTTAATTTATAACCTTCATTTAGTATATATTTTTTCATAACCCCCCCCCCTCGAAATTAATTCCTATATACGCCAGTGACTCTTTTAAGTTTATTTAATATATATTAATGGGCGCAACTAGAACTCAAATATTAGGGGTGCTGTATAGATTTTATAGATCTGAAAAAAAAAAAACGATAGCACTACATTTAAACTCAGGGGTGCTAAAAACCCTATTGCGTCTATGTTTATATTGTATTCAATTGTCCGAGTGCTTAATTATTGTGCACTCAATAGTCATGAATCTTGTTATAATAGTGGTAACTTATTTTATATTATATTAAATAATCAATGATATAAATAATTAAGTATATGCTCAGGCTGGAATATTATTATATTTGTAAAGTACTTTTTTCAAATTAAAAATTCATTATCAAATACTTGTACTTTTTTGAATTTATTTATTTATGTACATACACTATTTGTTTATTTATCTATATAATAATGAATAAAATATAAAATAAAAGTAAGATTTTTAAAACCTAAATATAGAAATTATATATTAAACCTTTAACTTTTAAGTTTAATTACCATGAATGATATTTTTTATTACGTTTTTCAATAATATTTACAATTATTTGTGTAATATACATATATACATAAACATATATATATATCACGCAAACCATTTACTAATAGTATAAATATTTATTTTATCAGATAAATGTTTGTAATTTTATAATTTGTAATAATATCAATCTTTTTCTTATTTTCTATGACTAGTTTTATTTAATATATATATATATATATATATATATATAGTTACATTTAATTTTAATAAATATATTTAGATTAAAACAATTAAAACAATACTGAAATATATATTTTACATATATTTATATAGTAAAATGTAAAATGAAAGGAAGTCAATATATAAAAATTCTAGAAAATAAACAAAAAACTGTAAAATACAAAATTATTTTAATTCTGTTATTTAATTATTTATTAACTTCATATGTTTAAAATATCAGAAAAATAAAATTTTAAAATAAATAAATATTTTTCCGGGTGTATCATTCAAACAATAAATTGCACTATATTTCAATATGAAATAAAATTTTTTTATTTAGATTAAAGAAATATTTACCTTAAATTGACAATCCCATCAAACATTAGAATATTTCAAGTTTTAAACAATCACATTTTTTTCTTTAAATGAAAATTAACATTCAATAAAAAAAATGTATAAATAGCAACAACCACTCTATACAAAACATTTGCTTAGTATTTACAACCACAACAAATACATGGTTAACTAATGTTAAAAACAGGTAAGTATAACATCAATTTTAAGAAAGGAATGTGCGAACAGTAGCCTTGATGGTCTGTCGACATAATGGACAATCTGGTAGACTTGAAGCACAAGTAATGCATGCAACTAAGTGAGCGCAAGGTAACATTACAACACCTAATTCTTGATCTAAACAAATTTTACAAAGACGTGCTTCTTTTAAACGACGGTTTTCTTCTTCTAAATCTGAAAAAACAAAAAGAACAAATGTTAGTTTTATGAGTTATCAGACATACATTTATAATGTTTATTTATGACAATTTCCAAAAAAAAACTAAAAATTATTATATACTTAAAAGATACAATATGAAAAGTTATTCATAAAATCTTTCATGGAAATTTTAGAGAAGCAGTATATGATTTCTAATTTTTTGCCAGAAATATATAATTTGAGTTGAAAATACATATTAGTATCAAGGAAGCCAAAACATACAGTCATAAATTTATATTCTATTAAATATGTGCTACAAAAACAACATAAATCATAAATTGTAATATTTTAAATGTCAATTGGAATTTATAAATAATTTTATTAATATTACATGATTTTAAAATGTAAATAAAATAATGTATTGCTTTAATTATTTTACAATCAGTGTTGAAATATTAAAAAAAAAAAAATCAACAAACATAATATCAAAATCTGATATATACAATGTATATTATACATGTATAATTATGCTAATTTTTCATGATTATGTTAACAAAAAATAAATATGTCTGATCACCTAATACATAATAATTAATTTTTATCTATCTTTAATTTTGTTTAAAATAAAATATATAAAACAAATAAAATACTTTAATAATGCATTATGTCATATTTTTAATAATTGAAATTAAATATTTGTTTTTCAAAATTCAATGGGAAACAGTTGTTTATAACTATTTGATATAAAAAAAAAAATACTATCACATATTGAATAACAACCATAAATACACATTTAGTATAATTAGTATAATTGATATATCGTAAGTAAAGTAATTAATTGTCATTAAGATAAAAATTAAGTACATTTGGTTTAATAATTTATAACTAAAAAAATAAATACCTGATTGAGATAATTTAATATTCTCAGTTTCAACAATTGGTTCATTTACTTTTTTCTGAAATTATTATGCAGTTAATTAATTTAAAACATACATAAATTAACAACTTAACAACTATAACATTATTACATTAATCTAAATTATACTTTTATTATAATGGAAATACCTTTAATATCAATATTACTAGATTGACTGATTTGCATACTATCAGCTTCAATAGCAATTTCATTTGGTCCTGAAGTTTCATTTTCAGTATTTGTTGTATTTTGATCACTTGGTCTCAATTCCTCATTATCTGAATTTTCTTCAGACTCAATTATTAAATCAAAATCTCTATAATAATAAATACATTATTTCATAGGAAAAAATTAATTATAATCTTTCTTGTGCTTACTCAGAACTTTCAGATGAATCAAATGAATTTGATTCGTCAGATAATGATTGAGAATCAAAAGTATTTGGTCTCAATAATGCTGCTTCTCTCTGAAGAAAATCTTCTATAGTCACAGAATCTCTAAAAAATAAATTGTTTTTATTTTACTTTTAAATGTTGACTATATCAATTACCCTTCAACAGGAAGCGTAACTTCAACCAAAATTTGTTGTATAAAAGAATCTGTTCTACGAAAAGGTCTACCAATATCTTGTATATTATTTCTTATTGCTTGTCTAATATGATCTGGTTGTAAACCTAACTGTAATGCAGTCTGAAATATCAAACAAAAGAATTGTTACATTCTTCAAAGTATAAATGTAATACTAAATGTGTCATTAAAATAATACCATTGCTTCAGGTAATACCATAAGGTCACTAATCTGTTGATCACCAGTGGTTGAAGAACTTGTTCCATTCAATGTAGTATCATCTGTTTGGTGAATACTAACCATATTTCCCTATAAAATATAATATGGTAAATATGCATAAATATTAAAATGGAAAAATAATAAGAACAATAATTTTTATTTTAATATAAATACATTTTAAATAATATTAAAAGAGTAATAAATAAGCTGTACAAGATAACTATACTTTTAGTCTTATTTAAGTTTAAATATATACACATTTTAATAGTTTATATTAACTGTAATTAATTAATAATTAAAAATACCTCTTGAGATGACGATGATGTATTACTACTTCTATTTAAAAGTGCATTGAATCTTTCCACCAAATTTCCATCCAAGAATTTCTCACCTTTAACTAAATTTAAAAAGCCACAATTTGGAAACCATTTTGCATGCTCAACCCATGGGTTATCAGTCATTTCCCAATTTTGAAGACCTCCATCACAATAATAACAGCGGACCTCATCATTGCTTCCTGAAGAGTTTTATTTAAATTTTCTAGATTATTTTATATAACATATATTTGTCTTTAATTTTAAAAGTAAGGAATAACTGTAATATTTATGTACTAAAATATTTTTAACTTAACAGCTATTACAAATAACTATTACTAACTCGTAATAGTTGTTTTAATAATACACTAATACAAAATACATGTAGATATTATTAAAATCAAATATATTTATAGATTTACACTATCGCATAATATTAAATAATAACACTCACTGGTAAAAAAAAAAAACCAGCAATGGCCAAATCTTCAGGTTTTTGAGATTCATTTTTCCAACCTTTAAATGATTTCAACCGAGCGGCAAAAGAATTATAATTTAAATGAAAAGCTACTTGATGTGCTCTAACACCCAAACCTTGAATGTCAATTGGTTCACCTAAATTAAAATATAAATAATTATTAAATCATAGTAAAATAGAACAACTCTACATTTTTTTATAATTTTAAATAATCAAAATACAAGATTAAGAAATTATATTAACATCTCAGAATATCATAGTTTATTAAAAAAACTACATTAATAATATATAATACATATATATTTATAATATTATAAACCAAACATCTGTTTGAGAAATTGTTTTAGCATTATTTATAACTAAAGCTTGGATGATTATGCAATTAAAATTACTACAATATGTATATGTATGCAATTATGTACTATTAATATTACTAAATATGCATTCAAAATATGCACTAAAAAATTTTATTTTTGTTTGTTAATATAAATCATTATAAAATTTTTAATATGATATAGCATTCTTATAACACTATTACATTGCTAGCATTACACTGTGAAAAAATGGATATTTTAATTTTTTAAAAATTGTAACAGCGTCTGTTACTGAAAGTAAATTTTTATAGTGTAGAAAACATTGTTCTACATTTACTGATGTCATTGGAACCATAGTTGAAGAATGAAAAATCATCAACCTTTAAATTTTTTTTTGTATATTCATAGTATTTATTTCACCGGAATGTATTTTTAAAATGTGTATCAAAATTTTAATTCTAACATTTTTTTGGAATTGCGTTGTGAAATGGTTCATACATTTTTTTTCATATTTATCCATTATTCATCTTGAGGGTTTTTTTAGTACTATTGACCACTTTCAAGTGATTCAATCAATTGACAGGTAAGTAATAAAATGATAAATAATGCTAATAAACTGTATAGTTGCTAGTTAGTTAATGAAACATGCATTTATTTTCATTAAATTTCAAAATACGCATTTAAAATTAAAAAACTATTAAATATGCAAAAATAAAATTAACATTATTTGATTCGGTAGATAATAATAGTATAAATAGTATTTTAAACACTTAAATATGTATTCAACAAAATAGAACAATAATATTTTATTTAAAGAGAATATTGAATGATATATTAATTTATGCTAATGGTTAAATTTGTAAAAAAAAATAAGCCCAACATGTATTAATTATTTTGATATAACCATAGGTAATAATGAAAATTTGATGAAAACATAGCTTTAACTTATTAATAGTTAAATGCAAAAATATATTTGTTAAGTATATTTTTTTTTGTTTCAATAATATTAATTTAAACTAAAATTAGAAAAAAAAAATTAAAATTAGGTAATGATAGAAATTGAGTATTTTAAAAACTAACCGGTTTCTTTATGGGTTTCAACAAACTCTCCTCTTAACTGAATTCCTTCAATAACAGGTATATTACCACAGTCTTGACTTAGGATAAAACTACAATTGGGATTATGACGTTTATGTTCATCAACAGCATTATCACCAAATTCCCAACGACAAACACAAATGTTACAAAATGCACATTTAACCTAAAATTGTTAACTATATATTACTATCTAACATTGGATGAAATTAAACTAAAAAATATATATAAATATATAATAACCTTGTCGGTATGTTTAGTATAATAGAATCCAGCGGCTGCTAAGCTTTTAGGACTAATAATAAACGACAATGGCCAACCTGTGAATGTGGCCAATCTATTACTTTCATTTTTCAAGTCAATGGGTTGCGATTCCATTAGTGAAAATGAACCTTAAAATAATCGTTTATACAATGCTGTTAAAATCAGGCTGTTCAGATTTTACCATACGTGAAATTTATTAACTAAGTGAAATATAAAATCAATAGATTATAGATTTTATTAGAATGACCTTTAATAAGATAAACTTACGTCAATGATTTTACAATTTATTTACAATTAATAAAATTTAAAAAACTTAGCTACTAGATAGAGAATATTCCAGTAATGCTCTTAACAAATAACTACAAACCTATTAATTTAATATTAAACAAACTTATTTTTCACTTAAACGAGGGTTATAATTATTACTATATACTTTGTATAAGGTTTTTGGTGAGAAAAATATTATGCGCAAATAACCATTATATTTGTTTAGGTTTTATGCATTATAGTCGGATGAATATAAATCGATAAGGATTTCTGAGTGTAAATTATTTATTATCAAACATTATAATAACCATGGTTAAATTTTTTTAACTATACTCTTTGGAATAGTTTAAAATAAAAATTAAGGTAACAGATCACAGTTATCTATTTACTTGGATATGAAAAAGATTTATAATTCTGAGTAGTGGTTTTCAACCTAGGGGTAGCAAAAAATAATGGATAAAATGATTTTTCCATATTATTTAAAAAAAAAAAACTAAGTAAATTATTTTGTGAAATTTTTAAGTTTAAATTAATCAATATTGTTTATCATTTAAATATTTGTCGGTAATTAAATCAAATTTTGATGAATAAAACTTTTTTTTTGAAGAGGTCGCATTACAAAAAAATAAAAAATGGGAAGTCACGATCCAAAAAAGGTTAAAAACCACTGATATAGAGCATAGACCTTTTATCTAAATTAAAAATATGTCTATGATATAAATTTCATGTACGGGTGATCAATGTTCAACACATCATGAATATTTAGAAAATAGTTTTTAGAAAATTTAAATATATCTTCTAAGACCCTGACGAATATAAAAACTTTATAAACGTGAGCTATACTAGTTCAGGGAAAAATCAAATGTTGAAAGAGTGGGAGGATATATATTGTAATCGAAGTTAATGTGGTTCTAAATATATTTTTGAGATTTGGAAAATATTTGAGGGTGCTAATCCTCTACTCGATTATAGTGATTATTACCCTCAAATGAAAGTAGGATCCAAGAAATAAGATTTGATTTAATCATTTATCCATCATTATTTTTCTATTTTTAATTTTTATAACCGTTAAATTATTATCACAATACGTTAATTTCCATTCAAAACCATATTGTATTAACATAATTAGTGCTTTAGCTGTCGAGGCGGCGATGATCAAAGGTGAGAAATGATAAAACCGTCGATTGTGGTGCTATCCATCTAAATATAGTATTTTGGTATGAATGTAAAAGACATCCAAACCACGGAGAAAATACCGAACAGTTGAATTTATTACTCATAATTGTTAGTTATTAATAGGTTCATTATTACCTTCCGTCCTTACAATTTTGTTTAAATTTAGATTAAGTTATGACAATATGCAATAGTAATAATCAGTTTATCTATAACATTACGACTTATAAGCATCAAGCTACAAGATATGTTGTTTTTCTTTCTTTGGGAGAGGGCAGACATTATCCTTTTTTTTTTTGCCCCCTATTTTGAATTTTGAAATCAGGCAACCCTAAGTAGATTGGACTCATCGCTCACTTAGGTGAAATAGTTCATTCGTTCACTTAGATGAAGTAGTTCATTGAACGATATTGAGTGTAGCGGCGTAAATTCAATCTTGCTCTGGGGGGAGGGTTAACAAAAATAATCTTTATCTTTTTTTTTTCGTTACTCAGATAAATAACTGGTATATACAGTGGAACCTCGATAACTCAAACCTCTATAAGTCGAATTTTCGATATCTCGAAGGAATGTCTTGGCCCCTGGCTTCCGACTTATGATATATGTGATACATTTTCTCTATAATTCGAATTTCGCTAACTCGAATTTCTTGATAAGTCGAAGTAATTTTAGTTGAATTTTAGCTTATAACTCGAAATTATATAATAAAATATAACACATACAATGAACATACCTCGATAACTCGAAGGTCAAATAACCAAGTACATATGTATGTATGTATTATTATAAATAACGATAATCGTAATCGAAAACCGATTAATATTATCAATCTTATCATTACCTATACTACTTAAAAGGTACAGTTATAAATTCAACGATATATGTAATATGTCTATAATACGATACAATGTCGATTTCTCCGATAAGTTACGTTTATCTACTTTATTAGTGTATTTATTACTGGTAAAATTATACGTCAATACGAAATGTATACGTCGATATTTAATACGATGCTGATACAACAAATGTTCAGTTTATTTTGTCAAGATGGAAAAATGCACTTTAAGTCTCTAACTATCGGTGATAAAATAAAAATTATTGAAGAAGCCAAAAAAGGAGTGAAACGCAAAAAAGATATCGCGAGTGAATTCGGTATTCCTGCAAGTACCTTATCGACTATATTGAAGGATAAAGACAAAATTCTCAGAGCAGTTGAAGAAGTCCCCTGCTTACCACGTCGTAAAAGATTTAAAGCATCAAGCTTTCTAGAAATTGAGCATGGTATGACGGAATAGATAAAGCGAGTAAGAGATTATAATTTACCCATTTTAGGACCGTTAATTCAAGAAAAAGCAGCAGAGTTCGCAAAGAATTTAAGCCTCACATTTCAAGCTAGTTCGGGATGACTGGAAAAAATTAAATCGAGGAACGGAATCGTAGAAAAAATCATATCAGGTGAGAGTTCCACGGTGTCTGAAGTTGACTGTAAACATTACCGAACAAACATTCTGCCGAGTTTGTTAAAAGAATACGACTCAAAAGACATTTTTAATGCAGATGAATTTGGTCTCTTTTTCAAGTGTACACCTGACAGAACTTTGACATTCAAAGGAGATACTTGTCACGGAGGGAAAAAGAGTAAAGAACGTGTAACAGTCATGGTAGGAGCTAATATGACTGGAACAGAAAAATTAAAACTCTTCGTGATTGGAAAGTCAAAACAACCAAGGTGCTTCAAAAAAAGAACGTGGAATCGTTAACAGTCACATACGCGTATAACAAAAAAGCATGGATGTTATCCACTATCTATGAATCTTGGATATTTGACTTGGATAAAAGATTTTTCAACGATAAAAGAAAAGTGCTTCTCTTTGTCGATAATTGCCCTGCACATCCAAAAACACTTTTGCATGAACTAAAAGCAATACGGGTAGTATTTCTGCCACTAAACATGACATCTAAACTACAGCCAATGGACCAAGGAATCATAAAAAACATAAAGCATCATTATCGGAGAAGTATAATGCAAATAAATTTGCGAAAAATGGATTCCGGACTTGAGAAAGATGACATAAATCTTTTAGAATCAATTAAATTACTGCATAAGTCCTGGGGAGCAGTCATACAGTCCACGATTGCAAATTGTTTCCACAAAGCTGGCTTTACAAACGGTATAAATAAGTTGTTTATTTTATTTATATGTTTCTATGATTTATAACTACATATGTATTACTTTTGTCTTTTAGAAATTCAAGAACACATGGAGGAAAAACCAGTCGAAAAAGAAAACCCAATTGAGTGGGATCGATACCAGCAGCTTTTTCCTGAGACTAATACTGTTGAATTCCAACATTTTGTTGTGGTGGACTCTGGTGTTATAATAACATACTATCCTACTGATAATGAAATACTGAACGATTTAAAATTCAAAGAAATGCCCAACGAGTCAAGTGGGGAAGAGTCGGATATTGAAGACGATGGTGAATTGGCTTTGTCTAGAACAACTCTTGCCCAGGCATTAGATAGTTTACAGGTTGTACGTAAATACATTCAAGAACAACAAGAAATTGGAGACGAGATTTTTTCAGCGCTAAACGTTATTGAAAACTTCACAGATAGGTCAAACATTAAAAAACAATCAAAAATATCTGATTTCTTTAAAAAATAGTTCTTTTATTCTACTTTATTTATTACATTATACTTTTTTAAAATTTTAATACAATATACATACCTACATAGTACATACATTATTCATTTATTAGTAAATACATAAATAAATAAAATTATAAAATTAAAGTCTTTGTATTTTTAAATAAAAAATATTTTCGATAACTCGAATTTTTTGGCAGATTCGAGTTATCGAGGTTTTCCATAAGTCGAATTTTCGATAACTCGAATTTTTTTTTCGCCCCCAACCGATTCGAGTTATCGAGGTTCCGCTGTATATAGATATTATTTTATACAACTTTTTTACCAATTTACAGTTTACTTTTACATTACGGTAAATTAATAGCTATTGGAATATAAAATAACATAGGTAGTTAACAAAACTTTTCAAACACCTATCAATATAATTATTTAATTATTATAATATTTGTAGAGTTGTATATTTTAAGTTCAAAGCGTAATAATGAAACTAAGAATATATTACACGTCATCAATAATAAAACAATATTTTTTTGGCTCTGGAAGAAGTTTGAGTCTGAACCCCATATGTATGCCACTGATTGACATTTTGTTCTATCAAGTACAATATAGTTCACTTGTAAACTAGTTCAAAATGTTCACTTCGGTTAATAGTTCAACAACACATTTTTAATAGTAATATCTTAAATCTTGGTTCATCAATTATAAATGTAATTTAACATATTGACAAAATATAACTATTACACTAGACAGAGCAATAACTATCGACTAAATCATAGATATCATGGCTTCTAAATATAATTGCATTATTTATTTTTACACTTCAACCCTTTCGTTAAAAATATCCATATACAGCGTGTTCATCGATTTAGGGAACATTGAATTTCTCGGCCGGATTTGTTTTGGAATAAATCGATTTTTTTTTTTTTTACAAACTGGTGGTATATGAATACTCAATTTTTAATACATTTCAAAATTTTTTGAGAATTTGGTCTGTGCATGCGCAGTAAAAACTTTTTTTTTAAATAGCAACACCAATTTTTAACACCATATTCGGATAGGCCTATTTTTATAAAGTAATTTTCATATATCAACTATGGCTCTAAGTTCAATATTGACTAAATAAGAGCCATGTCAATTTTATTAAATAATACATTTTTTAAATTATTTTTAAACATTTATAAAATCATTTATAATTAATTCTTATTGGTTACTTTTTGAATATTTGTAAGTATTTTTTTTTAGAAATGTTATAAACAAGACTAAAATAATATGGATATAAAATTATTTATTAAAAATCGACTAGGTATAACTGGTATAAGCGAATAATAGTTATTTTATAATTACACAATAAATTAAATAAATTGTTCAAAGTTTGCTCCGTGATTGACGACGCATAATTGAAAACGCTGTAGACATCCTTTATTGGTTGCTGACATTATTTGGTTTTCGGTAAGGTTATTACACGCAACCACGATTTTATTTTTTAAATCTGCTTGGTTTACTGGTGGATCTGCGTAGACTATTGTTCTCAAATGTCCCCATAAAAAAAAATCAAATGGAGTAATATCTGGAGATCTTGCTCGCTATAAGTGCCAAACCATTTTCCTTCATATACCTGATTTAAATGATCTCTAATAATATGAGCATTATAAGCAGGAGCTTCGTCGTGCTGAAAATAGAGGGTTTGATGTGCAACTAATAGCATAGACGTGCGCAGACTTTATTCGCAGGTTATGCAATAAGAAATATAGGGCCCCTCACAAATAAATTTTCTAATCTTCCCTTAATTTATTTGCATTTTCTTTTAACGCATGTGAGATTCAAGTTACAATCTAAGTTTTTGCATATATACTACTTAGCTTCTTTACTTCCCTTAGAATCTAAAATCACACATAGTTTTACAGTAGAATATTAAACAATGCACTGTAGAAATAAGTAGTTTGAAATTTGATTTATATTTATTCAAAAAAAAATTTATTATTTATTTAAGATCAAGTATGTACTATATTGAATGCTTTTTGAATAATTTTAACATATTTATAATGTTATTATTTTATGGAGAGTACGTAAAATCTAAAGTTCAAGTCTTCTTTTTATCGGCACACATGCTTTGAATTCATCTATTACATCTTCAATATTGATTTCTGATGCCATCTTTTGCTCGATAAATATTAACATCAGTGAATCAAGACGTTCTTGTAACATAGTGTTTCTAAGTTTAGACTTTACAATAAACAATTTGGAAAAGTCCCTCTCACACGAGCAACTTGCCACAAGTATTGTTGCAAATTGTGTTAAAGCTTTATTGAAGTTTGAAAATATTATTTTCCGGTCGTTTTCTGATAACCAATTCAGCCATACTACAATGTTTTAGTTGATGACCCTCTAATAGAAGTTCTATCAGACATATTTGTAATGAGCTTAATTTCAGACTCAAATGTAGTATTCAAATTAAATTTTTCCTTCAACATTGAAATATCATTACTATCAAGCTTTAATTGATTTAAATTTCCTGTGGTGGTAATTCAATTTAAAGTTTCTTAACTTAATAATAAATATGGGCCCCTCACATGAAGCCGCAGACTATGCAGCGGCATACCCTGCATACCCCGTGCGCACGCCTATGGCTAATAGTACATTTTTAAACATCAATGGTAAAACATTTGTTAAAAATGATAAATATCGCCTTGCATTAAATTTTCTTCATAGAAATACGGACCTAATAATTTGCCACCAATAAGTGCACACCACACATTAGTACCCTACACAGTTTGGTGATGACTATCCACTGCCCAATGGGGGTTGACATCTGACCAAAAGATTGTTTTGCTTATTAATAACTCCATTGTTCATAAATTTAGATTCATCAGTTCATAATAATTGATTTAAAAATAACAATTGTGTATCGATTTAAACTAGTATCCAAGCAATGAAATTTAATCTTCTTTCTGGATCTGTGGGTCGTAAATGTTGAACTAAATCAGGTTTGTATTCCTACATATTGTGTTTTTGTAAAATTTTATGCACAAGGCCGAACGAGATTCCAACTTCTCTAGCAACATGATTAACCGAAGATCGTGGATTCAATCTAATGCATGCTAAAACTTGAACTTCCACATCTTCATTAATATTATTTTGTCTGATTTGTTGGTTACGAGCTACTTTTACAGAAAATGCTCCATGGTCAATCAATAATTTTTCTATTTCAATAAATAATTTGTGTGGTGGATGGTACCGACCTGGGTATTGTTCGGCATATATTTTTGCTGACTGACGAGAATTTCTATTGCATTTATCATAAATTAAAAGCATTTGCACTTTTTCTTGGTTGTTCATTTTGACCTATCACACTATGACTTTCGCACTATGACAATCGAAATAAAAATGATTCACTTTATCTACATTTTAGAGTATTACATTAATAATCAAAACAGTTTATCTATCTATAAATAATTATGAATTAATAGGCAATTATAATTTATCGTTTATCGATATTATACATCTAATAATAGTGCATATTATTATTGTTATGACTTATTTAGTATTAAATTAAGTATAGTTATTAATTATTTAGTATTAAATTATCTGAATAACTATGCTAATTAACAATATCTTATTATTTCAAACCTCGATAACTTTATATTTTATAAAATAACTATTGTCTAATTGTACCAGTTGCACCTAGTCGATTTTTAATAAATAATTTTGTATCCATATTCAGGGCCGGCATGTGGGTAAGGTGACTTAGGCGATCGCCTAGGGCGCCAAAATTGTTTTTTACAATTTTGCGCATATGTCAGTAATATTATTATTATTATTTTTTTAATGTAAAATACCTATAACTTTGTATTGAAATATTGATAATAATTATGGTTATTTCGTTAAGCCATATATTAAAATAATATAATTAAATTTTAAGTATATTTACTATGGTTTAGCGTAGAATGTTCTATCATATATGTTGCTATAATTCCCAAATATTTGTTATCGTTCAATCGAGATCGCGTCGAGCCATTGTGACTCGTGACTAAAAAATTAGACAATAACAAATGATGTACAAGTTGAGCATAATATATTATTTTTTCTAATTATAATGATATTACGGGTTGTTGTATGAAAAAGACGTCGGTTGGCATTTTGGCCTCGGGCGTCATTAAGCCTTACGCCGGCCCTGTCCATATTATGTTAGTCTTGTTTATAACATTTCTAAAAAAAAAATACGTTACAAACATTCAAAAAGTAACTAATAAGAATTAATTAAAAATGATTTTATAAATGTTTAAAAATTATTTAAAAAATGTATTATTTAATAAAATTGACATGGCTCTTATTTAGTCAATATTGAACTTAGAGCCATAGTTGATACATGAAAATTACTTTATAAAAAATAGGCCTATCCGAATATGGTGTTAAAAATAGATGTTGCTATTTAAAAAAAAAAAGTTTTTAATGCGCATGCTCAGACCAAATTCTCAAAAATTTTTGAAATGTATCGAAAAATGTGAATTCATATACCACCAGTTTGTGAAAAAAAAAAATCGATTTATTCCAAACAAATCCGGCCGAGAAATTAAGTGGTCCCCAAATCGGTGAACACACTGTATATAGAGTAATTTAGAAGCAAAAATGATATCTTCTACTACTGATAATTATAATTTTTGCTTCGTCTAGGCCTAATAGGTTCATAGTTGCTTTCACTGTACACCTTCACCATGCTTCTACCATATACTCTGTTCATAGATAATTGTTCTTAATATCATAATCTTAGCTGTTGCTATAGATATTCTGTTTTTTTGTTTCTCTGCTATTATTAATACACAGTAATATTCTAACTAAGGCTTCAGTTTCATAATCAATCATAAAAAAATATTGGAATACAAAAATTAATATTGTGAAAGTGTATACAATTGAAGAAATTAATAAACAATAAATCTAAGAAATGTTGTTACTATGTGAATAAATATCGCTTAAAAAGTTTTAATAAAATACTTCAGAAAAATAATACAATGAAATGAAAATCCAAATAAAGTATTTTTATTCAGTCGTGGTTCCACTTTATTTGTGTATAGCCAATAAGAATTGAAATATTAAAAGAATAGCATTTTAAATAAATGCATACCTAATTAATGAATACATAGCAATTGTATACACAAATATACAACACTGTATTTCTATTCATCATCTGAAGAGCTGTCTGGCTCAGCAATACCATTTTTGATCCATTCATTATTTAAGTAATCATCTGATGTAGAATCCATTAATTTTATGTTAACATTTGCAGACTGGAAAAAAAAAATAACACATTTATCCATAAACAAAAAAAATAATAATAATGAATAAAGAATGTTTAAGTTTAAAATATTTATACGTTTTATTAATACTTGTTAGCATAGGCGTGCGTAGGGGGTATGCAGGGTATGCAACTGCATACCCTAAACATAGAGCCTTCTTTCAAAAATTACAAAAAAATAAATAAAATTATGACATATTTTGTCTTATGTATATTATGTGATTTTGTATTACATTATGATTTTTATTATATTTTTATATTCAGCCCGAGACAATTTAATTTATTTTTGAAACACAAATCATATGCTATAATAACGATTTAATGTATTAATGAAATTAAGAAGTACAATAATTCAAGCGAGATTAAATTGCTATCAACTACAGAACAAGAAATGGCTATAAATTAAAATCCTGAAAACATTATTGGTAATATTAAGAACTCAACTGTACGCAGAATCGTTTTATGATTAATTTTGATTATTTATCAAATTTATTTTGTTTTTCTTTTAAGTATATAATTACGTTTTTATTTATTTACCATATTTAAACATATTACTCAAACCATTTCAAGTGTTATGTATTTAATTTTTTTTTTTTTCGTAATTTATTTTAAATTTGAACTATGAAAACAGTTATAACAATTAAGAAATGGCTATTCAGTCACTTTTTTCAGGAAAAAAAAATTAAAATTTGAAATTAAATAGTTATTAAGACCAGAATTTCGAACGCTTAAATTAACTTTCAGTTTTAGGGAGGGGGGAAGGCAGTGGCAGCCTTTTTCATACCCTGAAAAATAGGTCTGTACACGCCTATGCTTGTCAGTATATTATAAAATTATATATAGTTACTTTATTTTGATTGATTGAAACTATAGAAATTGTACAGTTTTTATTAACAATTTTGGTAAGTTCATCTTCATCTACATCTTCTATTCCGTGTAAGTGACAAGTAATTGCTTGAGCTGGTAGATGACTAAATTTTTTACATAACAATCTAATATTCTCAATTGGAACCAAATGTATAGAACCATTGTCAATATCCAGCATCTAGAATTACTCATATAAATTTAATATAATACCAATTTTTCAAAAAATGTGTACATAATTATATCTAAACATATTTTTATTTAGTTAACTTATAATGTTGGTAATTTGCTAGTTACAAATAAAATTATAAAATCATTATTAAGTTAAAAAAATTAGAAAAAAAATTAAAAAAAACATAGATACAACTATTCATAAAAAATGAATTTAAATGTTTAGATGACAAATTTTGTAATACATATTATTATTATTAATAACGGAAAATACATTTTTGGGTTCTAAAACAAATATTTAAATTAAATACTCTAATACTCTGTTAACTCTGTAGTTAAACACAAACTGAAATATAATGCAAATATATTAAATATTATAATATATTAATATATTATAAACAGCAATATAATTACAAAAATATATTGAAAATAATAATTAATTATTATTTGAAATCTTAAAATTGAATTATTTATAATGCAATTTGGTAAGAAGCTCAATAATATAATATCCATAATCCATAATATAACTGTAATAAATTCGGAGCTGAACTCTCGAATAAATGTCTTTCTATACCATTGTATAAATAATATTAGTAATTTTAAAGCCATACAATTAATTGAAACTATTTAAAATACAGTTATAATATAGTCTTACTAAATATCAAATATAAAAATGTTTACACTTACTTTGATTACATTAAATTTAATATCAATAACAATTCCTCTAAACCATAAATCGTCCAAAAAAAATGCATAAGTATGTTCCATCATAATTAGAGATGCCTCAAATACAAAAAATGATTCATACACAAAATAATATTTTCTAAAACAAAAAGAATAATTTCTTAACTATGTATTTAAATTTTATACAACCCAATGGCAATTTTTATTATTTCTATTAACATGGGTTCATGAATGCAATTTCAATTTATAATAAACCAAAAATGTAAAAAAAAAGATTGATTTGTTAAAATAAAATTAAAACAAAGATATATGTTTGTATTAATAAAGGATGAAAGATTGTATGAACAATTTTTATTTTAAAAATTTGATTATATGTTTTAAGTGTCAAATATTTATAATATCTAAGTAAGAAAAAAAACCAGTACCTACTTTCATTTAATTCATTATTTTTGTGCCCATGAACCTTCAATACAAATACATTTGACAAAAAATAATAGAAAAAATTGTTTCTTATCATAAATTAGTAATTTTAAAATCATTTTTGTCATTACTTAGTTACTAGTCCAAAGTCTTTTAGTTCAAGATACAGAAAAAATTAATTATCTATTTTCTAAAAAAAATTATATACATCTTTGATACCTACTTCATATCATTTAATACATGCTGAAGTTCTTGAGATGTATCAATGGGTTGACATATAATGGTTGGTATAATATTTGTGTTCACTCTACAAACATGGACATTTAATGAGTTATCAATTTGTAATTCAATTTTCTTAATTTTTTGATCCAAAAAACAATCGTTCAGTGATGCCTTAAAAAATGGATCATTTTTCTAAAAGTGAAAAATTTTAAATGAAAATTAATTATTTACATTTATTTCATCTGCGAATCTGATTAATACTGTAATTTATTTACTAACTAAAAATGTTTTCAACGCTCCATCATTTTCATCAGGTTCTTTTTCAGATTTATCTTTTTTAGAAATGGAAAATTCATAGTCTAAACATAAAAAAGATAAGTACATAATTTAAATTCAAAGAGGTCTTAAAGAATTAATAAATTAATACATTTTTTACTTGATAGTTCGTCTACTAAATCTTTTTTCAAGTCACAAATGTGATTTTTTACTGATATTATTTCTACCTCATCTTGTATAAAATGTATACAACATAACTCTGGTAGTTTTGAAAACATATGACTTACTCTGTTAAAACCCCATCGTCTAAAATGAGAAAATGAAGATCCATATTTTTCCTAAAAATAAATGTGATATCTTAAATGAATAATTTATTAAAATATACCAAAGACGCATATTTCTTACTATATACAATGTGCATATATTTCTCTCTGATATCCAACAGTGTTCATTTTCATCCAATAATAATTCAATATTATTCTTAATTGATTCTTCCAAAATATAAAATAATTGGTATTCAAGTCCATTAATCATTTTTTTTTCCTCATCTTCGCTACTAAATAATACAAATAAAATATACTACATGTGTGCTACAATATCTATGAAATAATTACTTTTCCAATGAATTTTCATCAATGTTGTATATATCCATTGCTGTAAATTTATCTGAAAATTATAATAATAAAGCATCAACAAATCTAAATTGTTTTTAATTTTAAAATAAGGTAACATTGTCTCAGTCTTAACACTTAGTATTTAAATTCTTAAGGCACTGACAGTACTATTTTTTAAATAAGCTCTACAGATTTTCTTGAAATAATTATGAATTAATAAACAATATAATTAAACCTTACTTTCTTCTTTTATTTCTCTTAAACTTTTTACTAATGATGGTTGTAAACAAATCATATCTAATCCATTTCTTTGAAATATATGATCTAGATTTGATATTAAAGCTTCAGTATGGATACTCAATGATCTGAACAAAGGAATACACAAAACATTTGAATGAAAATCTTCAATTGACAATCCCTGTAAATATAAATATCAATATCAATAAATATGAAAATGTAATTTTAATTATTTGATCTAATCTAATTGCATACATATAAAAATTCATCATAAATAATATTATTTTAATTTGGTCTAAAAAGTACCCATAAACTTATGGCATTTATTTATTTCGTATAGCTAAAATAAAAATCTGGGGGAGTCGATGGTAGCTCATGGCCTCCCCTGCATATACTAATATTTGCTATCGCTAAACAAGCATAAACAATTTACTAGTATAACTTATACCATCAATCTGGCAGTGATACCCAGTAATACAAATCAACAGTAACTTATGGCATAAACATAGAGTTTACATAGTTAATTTAACAGATTCTATAATTACTATTACTCTGAAATCATTGATTTATATTTTATATTTGGTAGATATACATTTAATGACCTTACTTCAGGATATAATTCAGCAAATATTCTGATAAAAGCACATTGTAATCGATATGGCACCAGTATATCATTCCGAGATAAATTATTATTCAATGAAGGTGGCCTTATTATATTTGTTGAAACTAATACTTCCATGTGCCTGCTCAATTCGGAGCTCACTAAATTCACAATTGAATCTGTATCTTCTGGGTCTTCAAGCTATCAAAAATAAATTTGGTTATAAAATGTATTAACATAAATTGAATATGTAAGAACAATATAATTAATAACCAATATTTTCTTATTAGTAACAAATAAACTCATCTGAAATACTAACCTGAACAACATCTGGTATACTCTTCAAGAAATCAAAAAATGTGTCATAACCGAAAACATTTAAATTAATATGACTTGGTCCTCCGAATACATAAATTACCTTTTTCCACAGTTCTTCTATAGTTAGAGCATCTAGAGTGGCAACAATTGCACATCGTACAACCAACTTCAATTCATATAAATCCTGACATACATAAGCCATAGTATGTGTCGTTATTTAACGAATTTGAATTAAAATGGTTGATTTATTAAAAAAAAAAAATAATCATAACAGATGGAGTCTTATTTGATCAATGACTGAAAATGCGAATAGTCTTCAGTATCTTAGAAAGACGTAAACTTAGACCTGATAAGCAAAAATAGTTGTAGAAATTTAAAAGCACACGGTTTAAATCTATTAAATCTATTTTGAGTTTAAAAATCAGTTGATTTCCCGAAGATCGTTATCAACAAATAAGATGAAACTTTAACCAACAAATCATAGTGGTAACAACATTGAGTTCTGGGTACTGTTGATTACGATTATTATTATTATAGACCAATGGTTCCCAACCGGTGTGCCGCGATAATTCTATAAATTGTTTTATAAGTATGCAGTTTCATGGGGGGGGGGGTCTAGGGGCCGTGGCCCCCCAAGCCACACTGTATTTATAAAAAAATTTATATTGTTAACAAAAAATGCATATTATTATATGGACTATTATACGACACGCACAAGTATGTAGATAGAGCCATAAAGGTATGACGGTGTATACGATTTACCTGCTATCTTTATTATGAAGAACCAATAAGGCTATAAATAAACTATATTAATATAAAATATATTATATTATTATTTTATAATGTTCAAAACATGAATTGCGTAGCACACATTTTTGCACGGATTAATTTGTTGTTTTCTTTTTGTTATAAGATTTTGTAAAATTATAATTTGGCCCCCCCTAACCAAGGCTCTGGAGCCGCCCCTGGTATTACTAGTGCTCTTGATACCCGGATACCCGGGTACTACCCGGGTACCCGGGTTTTACGGGTATTACCATTGATTACAACTACTATTTATAATCAATGGTATTACCTGATTTACAAAATTTTTCGGTATCTGTTATGAATTGGGTGTCCGTTATAAATCGGGTACCCGTTATGGTTTGTATACTCATTATTAGAACTGGGATTTGTATGTAAATACATATTTTTTCTAAACATGATAAATTTCTTTATCTTTTTTTTCGTTGCACAGATAAATAATTGCTATAAATAGATATTATTTTGTACAATTTTTTACAACAGTTTACGCTATGTCCTAGCTGGTGCGTGTACGCACCGCAAATCGCAATGCGGTGAACGCATGCGATTTCTAATAATAACAAACATTCAGAAATAGATCGGACTGTCTTAATTGCCGACGCATACGTTGAATTCACGATATTGCACCGCAGTCGCAGGTTTGAATTACAAAATATTTTGTTTTTCGCCGCATACGATATGTCGTCGCAGCCAACAGTAGATTTGTTTTGATTACTTAATTTTTTTTTTATTAATTAATCACATTTTTTATTGCCACGTCGTACACAGATGTTGAAAAAAATAATAAATACAGAGATAGGCTTATAACAGACAAGGCATGGACACAGGAATAAATGGTAATAATTATATATAAGTATATATTAGTATATAATTTAACTTTTTTCAAACTTAATTTGGTGTTAATTGTTATTATAGCATTGTACTAATACAATGCACCTTTAAAATATATATTATGTATACAGTTTTTATAAAACTCTCATAAAAATTTAATTTGACTTTCTTGTAGACATTTTTTTTTGATAAAGGTTGACGTTGATAACAATATACGTCTTAGCACAATATTGTAGTTGTAACTACAAATAATATAAGTACAAATCGTATGCGTTCTTTCGCGTATTTGAATACGTCAATTTTGCTGTGCTTGCGGGAACTAGAATTTAGTGCGGTGCGGTCAAATATCGCACCGTCAACTCGCATTGCGTGCACGCACCAGCTAGGACATAGCGTAACTGTCTACTTTTACATTACAGTAAATTAGTAGCTATATTCATATGAATATAAAAACAGCATAGTTAACAAAACTTTTCAAACACCTATCAATATAATTATTCAATTATTATAATTTTTGAATAATTGTATATTTCAATTTCAAAGCGTAATAATGAAACTATCAATATATTACACGTCATCAATAATATCACAAATTTTTTTTTTTTTGGCCTTGGGGGTGGGTTTGAACGCGTCCTCCTTCCCGTATGTAAGCCACTGATTATGATTATTTATTATTTGCGTAGCTATACACATAAAAGGTAACGAATAAGGCTACTATATCCGTTATTTGCAAAATGTAAATATATGCTTTATAGTAGCTTTTAACATGTTATTCGACATTATACTTGAACAAACTAATTATTGAAATATAATATCACTAATAACACTCACATAAAATACTAAATATTTTATTTTTAAAACATAATTTTGTTAATTTAAAAGAGGAAATATTTTAATATTTTTTATTCAAATAATTGTGTAATGTATAATTTAATACTGATTACCTCTTAACAGTTAAGACTTAGCTAAATTATTTACGTATATCAAAAATCATCAGGTACCTGAAAATTTTGGATAATGGGTACCTACTACCCGAAAACGTTGACTATCCTCAAAATCGGGTATTACCCGGATGAACGTTTGGGGTATAGAACATTTCGCCGTAACCGTTTCGCCTCCGGACATTTGGCCGCGACTTCTCCGCTGTCGGGCTATTCGCTGTGAAGAGAACCTCCACACGAAGTATTATTTCCAATTATGTACTTATCATTAAAGATTAATAAACAACAATACTAAGGTTATGATATTTTTTCAAACTCACCACCTGACTTTTTACATGCGTTCGTCCCTAATTGACACTTTTTGAGTTTTGAAACCTTAATTTTGATATGTTCCTCAATTTAAATCAAGTACATTAACACACCCCACAAACCCACAATAGAATTTGAAGCTTTAATTTCCGTTTGTTCATAAGCAGCTATGCGCTTACATACTTCTCTGGGGTAGAAGATTTGTTCAAAGCGCATAATATGAACTAAGTCCCGAAAACCAACACTTTTGGGAAAGAAAAATTAACATTTTTTTGTATGTACGATCTACGTTTACGGTTTGATATAATGTGACAAGAATTATAAAATTATTAAATGCTTTTCATTTTTATTAAACATGAATATGAAATTATATTTTTAATTTTCAACATAAAAAAAAAAAATTTAAAAACCTATAATTTTCTAGGTAATAAAAATGGATATCCATAATGGCATTCTAAATTATCACTGTTAAACCATTGATTTTAATATAATTAATTAGGTATCAATTAAATTGATTAATACGTATAAGTAAGACTCCTCGTAACACCAGCATACAACTAATTAGGTAGGTAAATAAGTACCTAATATAATAAGTTCCTAAATTTCTAATAGAACACATATAGTGTATCTTATAACAATATAACATACTAAATTTCTAGATACTATACATCTTTTCTCATAGGCGTAAACTGGGGGGTCAAGGGGGGCAATCGCCCCTAGAATAAATTAAGAAGGGCAATGCCCCCCTCTGATATTTAACATACCTTGTTTTAAAATAAGTACAAAACAGCTTGTTATAACTATTACTACATTTTTTTTTTAAATCTTAATTTTAAATTTTCACTTATCTAACATAATATTAGAAAATAAATTATTTTATATAAAAATATGTAGGTAGTAAAGTGGTGTTTATCCTCGGACACCCTTTTCGTTAGATATGTAATTATATTCCTCCCCCTTAATAAATTTCCAAGTCACGCCTATGGCTTTTTTTATGTCATATATCATCTACTTAGTAACGTCAAACTTACATTTATAATATAATATAATATAATATATATTATATACCACATGTCATATAAGTATTAATCATATGTATGGTTTTAGAGTAAAAAGTAACAACATAATAATATTCATACAAAACCAATTTTATTTAATTTAATTTTCAACTAAGAAAATTTACAGGCCTACATTGAATATAATTTGTTAAAGCTGTATTCTTCTGTAACCTTCAGAAAATGTTTCTAAAATTTCTAAGTTATTTACAATATCCATAGGCAGTTATTGGGGGGACTTGGGGGGCTTAAGCCCCCCAAACTGTAAACGTCAAAATAAAAAATTATGTATTTCAATATTTGATATATATAATTTTTATTTTATTTTGTTGAGATACGAGAATGGTTTGGAATATTCATGGTTTATCGTTTTGGGAAAATCATATTTTTTAGATATATATTGATAATCATGAATATTCTAGAACTTGTTTGCGATACCTGTAAAGTTATAAATACGCAAGTTGCAGACTGCCAGGCCCTATTTTTATGTACACCCCGACACACAATGTGCACCGCGAATGTACAAGTGTGTACTACGGTTTTAAAGTGTGTGCACTTCGGTCTACAAAACAAAAATTAAATAATAAGCCAACTACTAGGAAATATGAGTATTATTGAATTTTTAAAATGTAATGCATAGATATATTATGTATGTAATATATTCCTTTTTCTAAGACAGTAGTGAGACTAAATTTTCATTTAAAGCGGTAAAATCAAGTGTGCAGTCCGAAATTGTACAAATAATAGGGCCTGCAGACTGCCACAGCATTAGTGTCGATTACATTTTTGGAGCGTATACGGTGATCGTCTTTATTTTTATTTTTTTGTTTTTAATACCTACGCGTGGTTTTCCGTAAGTGACGTGCTAAACAAATAAACAATATAATTTTATATTATTTGTATGAATTGTGTATTTAATCGAATTTAATCAATTAATTTTAAATTATAAATTGTAATTAATTCAATAATAGCTAAAAGAATGTTTGATGTCTTTAATATTATAAAACAAAAATTATTTGTTATTAATTCCTCGTCAACAACAACACTAGAATCTGAAAATGAAGATTTAAATATTGGTTTAGACATTGATATAACTACAAAAAAAGTGTTGAAAATATTGTAGATAAAAATGTCATTTCCGACTTGGGAACTTTAATAACAAGCTCTGTGTGACTAATTTTAATAGTAAGTACAAATGTAAGTAAATACTTACTAAACATAGTTATTATATTATACAATAAAACTCTTTATAATGAAACTTTACAACGAAAAACTCTATATAACATAAATATTACATAATAATGGTTGGTTTGCTATATAACCCATTAGTCAATGTATTCTCTATAACGTATTAGTCACTCTCAATAACGAAACAATATTTTATGTTTCATAATACAATTTAAATGTTATCGTACCTATTACATATATAAATTATAAAAATAATCGGCAATAATTCCGAAATTTCTAAGAACGATTACATTCTTTCATTATTAACTTTTAATATTGTAATTATCGATATGGAATAGGTATAT